TGTGAAATAATAAGCCAGATGAGGTTTTGATATGAAGAAAATGACCTAATGAGTGTTTTAAGAAGATTTGTCAGGAGGCCACGTTGAGGATAGAGTCAAGTCAGGGGAAGGATGGCAGCTGAGGAATTACTCAAGAGAGTTCTAGAAAAATATAGGAGAGATAGAATGAGGAGTACCATGCTAACTCTCACACTAAAGAGTTGGTGGTGATCTTAACAGATACTCCTCAGACTCCTTGTGCTATGACGATACAGCTGGGTGTGAGCTTAGAATTATTCATGATAGTCTTCAAAAATGACGAAACATCATTTTTTGTTCATTTCATTGCTTATTATTAACAAACAGCACCCTAGGCTTTCTTTTTCAGGGAAGAAATTGTGCACTATTTAGCTTATAATAACAATAATAATACAGCTTTACAGAAAGTGATAGACCCTGTCTTCTAGATCTCTTCTTTAATGCGGAGGATGACTGACGGTGTAAATTTTGAGGAAAGGATTTCTTTTTTCTTTTGCAGTGCTGGGAATTGAACTCAGGACCTTGCTCTTGTCAGGCAGGTGCTTATGCCACTGAGCTATCTCCCCTGCCCTTGACGGTGTAAATTTTGAAATGTAAAGAAAAACACATGCGATACTAAAAGGAGAAAAAGAAAAACTTTGGACCCTGTATGGCTTCCTTTCCCTTCTTCTTGTCTCTTTGATTTATAGTCTCTCAAAGGTTATCAACCATTCTGCTTGAGGTGTATAAAAAGGAAATGATTTCATTATATAAAATCACTACAACAAAATTCAAGAAATTAGTGGTACAAAACCAATAGGTTTATCTTTCTGACCTTTACAAAAGCCAAATAAATACAAGACAGAAAACAATTTCACCTTAAAATACCATCCCTAAATATTCTTTCTGCTCCCCATTCTTATGGTCCTCACCCTTGTCTCACCGTGTTCCCATATATCTTTGCTTTGGGGGACACCTCTGCTTCTTTGCAGTTCTTAACTGGAGGGGTTATCTCTTCTGTTCATAGCTGAAAGGTGAGAAAGACTTGGAATTGCTATAGAACATGTGGACATTTTAAATGTATGGAAGTCAACAAATTACAGTTAGGGTTCTCAAAGGAATAAATTATTGGCATATATTGTATGTGTTGGGTATACATACTATCTGCAAAGCAGGCACTTGAATACACATCAAAGAGGTAAATTACCAGTCCATGTAAATAAACCATAAGTTTACATTTCTTCTCTATTTAAAATTTCAGTTCTCAAATTCTATTTAGGAGCTCAAAAATAAGTGATGCAGTGTTTTCTATTATGCGTAGGTGTCTACGGTTCTGTTGCCATGGTTAGTGGGTATGTAAAATGCTCTATAAGAACGAAAATAATAAATGTTATCCTCCACCTTTTTCTCTGGATCCAGTGCTAGAAGGGCAGACACATTTTCCCAGAATGCTGACAGATGTGAACAGATCCAGTTGCACTCCTTAGAAGAATCTCTTCTTGCTACATACAGAAATGTATAGGTTTTCAACACCCAAGATGTACCACAGAGCTTAACAGTGAAACCTGTAGTTTGGCAAAGCTAGCTAACACGGGTAGGCAGACTCATCAGCACTTATGCTTTAAGCTCAGATCACCACCCACTTTCATCATAAATGATTTAAGACCTGAGTAAAGGAGCCACAGGTAGCATATGTGACAAAATTGTATTCTAAGGATCTGTGGAGCACAGATTCTCTTACAGATCCTCAGAGTGGCTGGGTAAGCCCCTAGAGTCACAAATTTCAATGAACTGGCAATTCCTGGCTTTCAACCCTGCTGTTCCCAGAAATTTCTTCCTTTTAAATAAAGGAGAGTCAACATGTTTCTACTGCTTTCTGGCATGGTTCTTCAGCAATCCTAAGCAAAGCATAAGGAGGTGGGAAAGCAATCAGTTGCATAATACCCACATATATTTTTGATGAAAACACATAAGACAAAAATAAATGTCAAACAGAAAAATAAGCATTGCCCCAGCAGGTGTCACCAGTATGGCTAATTATGCTGTCTAAGACTAAGTCCAGATGAATCAAGCATAGAAATGACCAGAAGAGTCAACCACTTTATCTGATTTAAATAACGTTTGATCCTCCTGTTTAAAAAATACCTGATTATTTGGAAATGGTTAATTTTCAGTACACTGAATAAAATAGCTTTCTGGGTGTATGGGATATGGAGATATGGTCCTTCCATGAACTCATTAATTTGAAACCTGGCTGAAGTCAAACATAAAAAGCACAAGGATTTATTTTATCTTTCAAGTCACCCAACAAAAGAAACATGGGCTTCGAGCCAGTGTAACCTGCTTGTAATCAGTTCTGTGAAACTGCAGAAAATCACTTAACCTGAGCTCTTCTTTAGCCTCCTAAAATGAAGGTAGTAGCACTTACCTTGGAGAACTGACAAATGTCCTGGACACGGCTGACTTTTAATACATGGTATGTATTATTATCATAGAAAGGAAATAGGAAAACATTGATCATTTATGTATTTCCTATTTGCAACACTTTTATCAATTATACATGCTTGTAATGATGATAAAATAATGTCATGTCATGCAATCAGTTTTCCTAATGTTCTGCTTGTAGGAACATTTAATATTTATAGTAAACATATGAAGCAATGCTCACTATCCTCATTTTATAAATGAGGAAACTGAAGAACAGAGAGGTTATATAATTTGTTCAAGGTCATACAGCAGAGCCAGAATTCAAACCTGGGCAATATGACTGTGGAGATTACCCTTTTAAGCATCTCATTAAAAGCCTGGAAGTACCAGTAATGTAACATAACAGGCATTCCATCAAGAAAACATACAAGGTGCTGCTACACTCTGTGCCAGACACGAGCATAGACATGTTTTTAAGACACTGAAAACATCAAATGTCTTAACAATAAGGACACAGAACCTATAACCTTGGAAGCTTCCAATATGGCGACCAGAAGCAGCTATATTACCTGGAAGTTATGACTCAGAACATGTGCTATATCTGCAGATAAGGGGAAAAGGTCCCTTTCAAACTACTGTTCTACTTCTCCCATTTTTAAGAAAAATTAGGTCATAGCTATCATTTACTTATGGAACTAACTAAGCTTTCTCTACCTTCTGATAGATGTGAATAAAATGGTTACTGTTCTTTGTTCCCCTTTATGTCAGGAATTTTTTATGGACAGACACAAAATCTATGTTTTACTTGATTTCTATTGCATATATAATTGGATCATAAGAGTATGTGGTCTTTAAGAATACCTAATGTTAGGTAAAAATGGGTATCAATGTTAAAAGTAACTCAAACACAAAGAAAGGGAAATTAGACAAGGGAATTCTGCTCAGGTACACATAGATAAAAGCAAACAACTCTATGACCAGGTATATACAGATTTCTTGCTTCTTTTTGCTTTGTTTTGTTTCCTCTTGCCTTCCTCTGGTATCCATTATTATCATCCACCTTCTCAAATGCACAAATAATAAAGTAGGTAGGCTACTGAAAATATTTTTGAGCTTAAAAATAAGGTTTACCTAATTTATGTTAGATTATATGTTATCAAGGTCCAAAAGCAATGGTGCATAATGTGTAATTTATATAAGTAAAACAAAATAAGTAGCTTTTACTTCTACTTTAATTAATTGTTTCAAAGAACAGTACCACTGCATACTACTGAATAATTACATAAATTAAAATTGGACTATTAATCTAACCATGTTAGAGTCTTCCTTATATTCTTTTTAAAGGGGAAACAGGTTGTCCAATAACCAAGTGTTTTGGTAAAAACTAATGGAATAATCTTCAGCTTGGGTGAAAAGCTATTCTGAAGAAAATAACTTTTCTCACCCTCTTTTTAAATTTTTTTTGCAATCAGCATTGGGAACTGAAGGATAGTTGGCAACATGGAAAAATGGGAGAGCTGTAAATGAACTTCAAGGAAAGACACTGGACATACAATCAGTGTAGAACTGCTGCTTTGGCAGGCACTGGCCGTCTAGGTCTGAATCTGGCTCCACGTACACAACCCAGTGCAGCTCTCAGTGCTCACCTGATTCCGCCTGTCCGCTGGCAACCCTTAGGATGTGGCTGCAACCTGCAGGTGCTCCTTCAAGATCCGGTTACTTCTGATCCTCCTTTTCACTGATTGTAATCCCCTCAGTTAAAAATGAGCATCTTTCATATATTTGCTTAGTTTGCTTTTCAAGTGCTGTGATGGGGACAGTCTTTTGGCAGGAGTTGTATTTTGTTTTCACAAGGAAGTCTGAAGGGCCCTTCTAGTAAGATTTTGAGTACACTGAGTTTCTCATTTGTTTATATACAGGGCACTTTTACACGGGGTTTTGTTGACATCACTTCTTGGAGAAAGAAACCCGTAGAGAGCATCTTGTAAAATTGTTGCCTAACAACTGGCATTTAATTTATATCATGCTTTATTGAGGTTTACATCTGATGTTCCAAAGGTAGCATTTGTCTTGTCAGTTCAGCCACAGTGGGATAGCATCAATGGGGTTCACAGGAAAGGATGCATCGTGCGACTCCTTTCACCTCCATGGATTCTCACACTTAACTTTATTTGTGCTGTTTATTCCAATAGTAGTTTTCCTTATGAAATCATGTAAATAGGAACCATCTGGAAAGGTTACTGTGGAAACAGCAAGGGCTGGGGGTGGGGCTGGGGAGCAAGAGATGCCATGACAACCTTTTTCGGGTTTCCCAGGAAACATGGGTTGCTATGGGAACTGCATCAGTCAGGTCCGAATTAGTAACTTCCTCTGGAAGGGGTGTCTGCCACTTTAATCTTCTTGTGATACTGCAGAAGCTTATCTCAGACGCATTAGGAATTTTTTTGTTTCTCTCAGCAGCACTGAAAACATGTTTCTAGACTTTGATAGATGCTAGCTGAGACATATGCACAGAACTTGACTGGAATCTTTCATTCTAATATTTGCTAAATGTTTAATAAGTCCCAAGTTGTTAGTCAGATCAGGATGTTGTGGGCATTTCCCTTTGTTCAAAGCTACTGAGACCCTTAAGATTCAGGAAGGGGAGGATTGAAACAGAAACTCCAGTCAAAAGCACATAAATCTAGGGTGGGTTTATGTCATTGCTTTAGTTGACTTTTCATCCACATACCAAGAATAAGCAATTGAACACAATAAAATAATGTTAGTGTCCACTAAATTAAAGAATCATGTAAGTATTCACTCGCTTTACTTAGTAAAGAACAACAACCTTTTAATCTTGAGGTTAAACAGTTATTCTGAAGTCTAACTGTTCTTTAGTTTCATTTCCTCCCAGGATGTACTTTTTTTTTTTTAAAAATAGGGCGTGTGCTAGAAATCAAGTTTAATGTAAGTTTTTTTTGTTCACAAAATTAAGACGGGGAAAAAAAAATCAAAGGAGAGCTGAGAGAATGCAGCCCATTTGCCACGCAGGCACCTGTTTCAGTATGAAGCACTAGGCAGAGGGGGAATGAAGTGTGCTCCCCGCTTCTTCCCATCCTGTCCTCGAGGAGTGGTCTGGAGATGTAGAAAATAAGGACACACACAGACCAGGGGACACATTTCACACAGTACTGTGCACGGGATGTCACTTGTATTACATATTACACATCGGTGAATATTTTTTTGATGTTGACACAGGTATTGGGATTATTGTTCGTGGTGCAGGTGGCAGTGGAGTTGCCCGTTTTGAAAGGGGTCTGGGGGAAAGCGCTGTGATTCATGCCCCCCTCTTCGATCACCATATACTCCGACTTACTCAGAGTCGAGTTACTCCGTGCTTTGCGGAGCTCCTCTGCTGAGGAGGAGAGGTGCTGGCAGCTTCCCACGTGCATGTACTGGGCTTGCTCTTCCCCTTCGGTCTCCCGGTGGTAGAAGTAATTGAAGTTGGAAACAATCACAGGGACTGGCAACGCAATGGTCAAGACACCCGCGATGGCACAAAGAGAGCCCACAATCTTGCCCCCAATGGTCACTGGGTGCATATCACCGTAACCAACTGTTGTCATGGTTACCACTGCCCACCAAAAGGCATCCGGGATGCTGCTAAAACCCGAAGTGGGGTCGTCTGCCTCGGCGAAGTAGACTGCGCTGGAAAAGAGGATGACTCCAATGAAGAGGAAGAAGATAAGCAGCCCCAGCTCCCGCATGGAAGCCTTCAGCGTCTGCCCCAGGATCTGCAGCCCCTTGGAGTGGCGGGAGAGCTTGAAGATGCGGAAGACCCTCACCAGGCGGATGACCCTTAGGATGGCCAGCGACATCGCCTGCTGTCCATTGCCCTGCCGCTCAGCCAGCTCGGTGCCCAGAGTGATAAAGTAAGGGATAATGGCCACAATGTCTATCAGGTTCATGATATTTCGTGAGAAGGTGGCTTTGCTGGGACAAGCGAAGAAACGCACCAGCAGCTCGAAGGAGAACCATATGATGCACAGGGTCTCCACCACGAAGAAGGGGTCGGAGAAGCTGGAGGCTGCGCTGGGGGGCCTCGACGTGCTGCTGTTGCTGGCCACCTCGAAGGCGTCCTGCGACGGTGAGGCAGGGTAGTCCTTCTCGTCGCGGAACTCGGGCAGCGTCTCCAGGCAGAAGATGACGATGGAGATGAGGATGACCAGCACGGACACGATGGCGATGCCCCGCGCGGGCCCTGAGCTCTCGGGGTACTCAAACAGCAGCCACACCTGGCGCTGGAAGTCGCGGCGGGGCAGGGGCCGCTCCTCCTCGCGCAGGAAGCCCTCGTCCTCGCGGAACTTCTCCATGGCCTCCTCGCCCAGCTGGTAGAAGCGGATCTCCTCCGAGAAGATGTCGATGGGCACGTTGACCGGCCGGCGGATGCGGCCCCCGGACTGGTAGTAGTAGAGGATGGCGTCGAAGCTGGGCCGGTTGCGGTCGAAGAAGTACTCGTTACGGAGCGGGTCGAAGTACCGCATGCGCCGCTTGGGGTCGCCCAGCAGCGTCTCGGGGAACTGGCACAGGGTCTTGAGCTGCGTCTCGAAACGCAGCCCGGAGATGTTGATGACCACGCGCTCCCCGCAGCAGTCCTGCTCGCCCGCCGCCGGCAGCGCGGGCTGCAGCGGCTCGTAGCGCTCGCCGCCGCCCCGGGCCG